GTAGAAGCATGATGGCCATACTAGATCTATGGGTATTAAGGGTATGACTGATTGGCTCTTGTGTTAGTGGGAGATTGTTGGTGTAAGCCCTAGAGGCCAATACTTTTGGTACTTGTATCTAATTATTTATTAAATAAAATACATTTCTTTATTATGTTTGCTTTTCCAAAATAATAAAGTCTCTAGAATAGTCAGTCTGTTTAATGAAATGTTAAGTGTGACCTAGTCATGAGACCCCATTAAACATAAGAAAACTATTTTTAAAGTATATGTAGTCGAGCTTTATTTCAAAGTGGGATAACATTAAAAAATTGAGATTATTATGAAGATAGACTGATGATCACACCTCATGGATCATGGATAAGGAGTTAACAAGTCTTGGCATAGGTATGAATATTATGAGTAATATTTATATTGGATTGGCTCATTATTAGAATAATACATAAAATGTTATGCAAGGTTTCATAAGTTATTCTCATGGTGATAATGATGTATATCACCCTTCGACCTGAAACCACTATGAACCCTAGATGTAGAGTTAAGTACTTTATTGTTGATCAAACATTATCTGTAACTGGATGACCATAAAGACAGTTGATGGGTACTTCACAAGCATGCTGAGGGACATGAGTGATCTAGATGGAACTTTCTTATCCTGCATAACAGGATAAATGTCTAAGGGCCCAATATTAAACTGGACAAGGGTAACACGCTATATGTCTTGTGTTCAATATAGACATAAGGGCAAAAGGATAATTGTACATACAAATATTATCATGGAAAGGTTTTGTTGGATCACATGATATTTTTGTGAATTTGGTAACAATGATGTGTTTCTAAATACCGCTCATTGTTTATCATGTTAAATGTGTGATTTAATATAATTTCTAACGTCACAAAAACCTACAGGGTCACACACATAAGGACAAGTTGATGAGAGATAGAGTAAATAAGGAACACCGTAAGGTACGATGCACTTAAATGAATTGTAGAACACCATAAGGTACAATACACTTAAGTGAAATATGGAATGTGGCAAGGTACCACACGCTTAAGTGATATGCGGTATATCATAAGGTATGATACCCGTAAGCTTAATTGGGCTTTTAGCTTGCAGACTTAATTAGGCTATTAGCTTGCAGCCCACATAAGTGGTTCTATAAATAGAACCCTTATGCTGAAGCATTTCACTTGATGAAATTTCGGTCTCGAAACCCTAGCCGTATTTTGTCTCACTCTCTCACTCAAAGTTTCTGTTCGTAAGCAGCTAGCACTGTGACCAGAAGCGACCTGTTTGTGTGGACTGAGTAGAGACGTTACTATTCATCAATGTTCGTGATCACAACATCAAAGGTCTGAATCATCACAAGAGGTAATGATTTCTATCACTGACCATGCTCATTCGTAAGGATCACTAAAGGAAAATTTTAATTTTCTGTTGCATTTTGGATTGCAATTTTCCTTCACCAATCCTATATGCATTCCAAAAACTTCTTGCCATATGCTTATTCATATCACCTAATTTAGATTCCTGAATCAAGAAAATATTCGCGTTGCCTTTTTTAATAATATGATTAATCTTCTTTCTCTTCAGCAAATCCCCCCCCCCAAATATTTAAAGCTCCTATAATCATGGGACCAGATTTAATTGCGCCTTCGCACTCTGTTTTCTAGCTTTATTCGTAATTTCCAACTAAAAAATTTTGTTCTTAACAACCACCTTTTCACCTTGAGGAACCACACCGAGTTTAGATATGGCTGACCAAAGTTTCCCTCCTACATTAGACTCAATTTGCTCATTGAATCTGAAATTGCAAAGAGACATGTTTGCATCAGACAAGGTCCCTCCACAAAGGACCGTCCCTGCAGAAAACCCCTTCGTTGAACCTGAAGCAACCTTAATCAGAATCATTAATAACACAGGTTCGTTGCATCCCCCCTGAATACAGTTTGCAGAATCATCGAAGGAAGAAATAAGGTCAGAAGCTGCTTTAAGAATTATCTTCTTCCGTCTTTTATTATTCAAAGACATAGGTCCTCCTACCTCGTAAATACACCTCAACCTTGTCACCTCTTAGTGATCAAAGGCATTTTGACATTAACTTTCTTCGACTTCTTTTTAAATAAAGTATCAATAGAATAACTATTAGCTCTGTTAGAAACTTCAGGGAATAGAATAGAAGGTTGTAAGGTCCCACCCTCAACAATAGCATCGACTCTCTCCTCCCTAACCGCCATAAGTGCTTCATCGAAGCATCCTTCCCCATTCCCCTTAACCTCTTGACAGTGCTTCAAAGAATCCTCAACGCTCCTATTTTACTGAGAATTATGATATGAATTGAAATCCCTTTTACTGTCATAATCATGGCCCAAATTGTTGCAAGACCCTGACATGCCAAAATCTCTATCACAAACTGCATCGTCACAATTGTCCTCTCCCTGATTGCTCCAACTATAACCAGATTCAGAAGAAGCATCGAAGGACACCAATCTCCCCTCTTTATTCTCCAGATTAATTCTCAACGGGCCATAAGAATCTTCCACCACTTTAATGGTGAACACAGACTCAACAATCTTTACCTTCATGAACTCATTCAGAATAGAATCACGCGAAGTTCTAACCAAAATCCTTGTAATGTCCATATTTGTTGCACCCCAAAATTTGCCCTCATCATTTCTGTTATCTGGCTTAGGCTTTTGCACTCATCTGCATATACTCCATTAGGTCATTAACATAGCATGTATTTTCATTTAATAAAACATCTTGGTTCAAAAGGTTAGCGATCATGCAAGGTAGGGTTTCTTTTGGTGTGAGATGCACATGTCCAATAAGCCTTTATTCTTCTGGTTCTTCTTGAAGCATGGATTAGAGAATTAGGGTTTAAACCCCTAGTGCTTAAACTTAGCATTATTTCAACTAAAGATTATGAGAATTAGGGTTTGGCATTCATGGATATCCCGAACATCCCTCAAGTTGATCTTCATCGAAAGGGTTTCATTACTACACTTCAAGTCTTATCCTCACCTTCAAGGAATTCTAAGAACGTTTATTTTGTGATCTTTGGTCATAAAGAGTTATGAAATCCAGGGAATTGGTACAAAAATAAGAAGCAGGAATTTATTTGTGATCGGGGCATGTTCATAATTTCGTTTGCTTATGGCTTGCCATGCAAGATGATTTCGAGGCTTGAGATAAGGTTTTCATAGAATTAAGGATTAATTCACGTGATGATTTAAGTTTAAATTGTACAAATTTTTCAAAGTTGGATTAAGGTGTGGCTGAAAGTTTTAAGTGGTTTTCTTGACATTCAAATGACAAAGATATTGGTTCATCGTCATTCATTCATTTTAAGCCCTAACTATTTGAGGTCTATTCAAATGGGATCCATGTTCTTAATGGACAAAATTTGGAGAAGGTCCATAAAAGTGGATTTTGTGGCAAGTATGGTGCAAATTACAAGACCTTGTCTCAAAGTTCAAATCATCATCATCCATATATCGTTTCAAAACAAAAGAAAGAGCTATTTTTTTTGGGACAAGAGGACGTGTGCAATATAAAGTTTTATCGTTGATGACAAAAGCAAGTTGCAAACGTACATGTTCAACATTATTCAGGTTTCATCAAATCCTTCCAACTTCTTCAAATTTTATTCATACAAATCACAAGTTCAATTACATTACATCAGAAAAAACTACAAAATTCTATCCTATGAAAACCTATCCTAAATCCTTCCTCGCAAGCTTTAAACCATGTGAAACCTTGTCGGATCTGTCTAATAACCATGCAGAAGCTTGTTCCAAAACTTTGTGCTAGGCATGAATTAAGCATCTTGCCAAATCAGATTTTTCAACTTGTTAAAGGTGTCCGTCCTGCTATAAACTTCTAGCTCTGCACATCACAAAAAAAAACTAGTTCAGTATCGATGCAAAAATAAAATCAAGGAAGCAATGCGATTCAAGTTGGTTCGAGGAACCAAATCAATTCATTAACATCCAAACCTGCACCAAAATTGAAATCTACAGAAAAATAAGCTCACCATAATACCCTGCATCTGTTCAAGTATCCAGAAAATATCATAACAATTTCCAGCTTGGCAATATCAGGAAAATTCAGAATAGTACAGAAAGAGAAAATCTCAGAATTTGCCATCTCATGAAATATCAGGAAAAACGTGAGCATAAAATCAGTTAAACTTGCAGAGAAGGTTTTCAAAAAAGATCAGAGTCATCTCATCCATCGAATCCTATAACTAACTCCTAAGATCTAAGGCTCAGATTTATTGTTTCCTAACTAACTTTTCTACCGATAACAGATTAGATAAACAGAAAACTCACCAGATTTATCTCATTCTTCAATTCTGCAAAAGAACATTCAACCTTCTCTCTGCTCCTCTAACCTTCATTATTCAACTGGAAGAAGAACCACAAAATTCTCTCTTCTCTTTTCATCTTCATTTCTTCAATCGGTGGAAGAATCACCATCATAAAAACCAGAAAAACTCTCAGTTCTCTCTCTGCTTCAAGCATAATCTTCATCTTCTCTCATCTGTTCTTGATTTCTGATAAGGATCTTTAAACTCCAAAATCCTTAAGGCTCTCTGCAAAATGTATTCATCATCACCACCAACCTTCAATCTTCAACAACCTGATATCGTCATCTTCATCACTGCACCATCAATCTACAAATCACATATTAAACAACATCATCATTTCTCTGCAGAATTTATGTAAATCGCAACACAACAACAACATCTCACGCATCGTAATAGATCGACAATAAAAAGCTCAAAAGAATAATCAAAGACATACAGAAGATGAATAATAGAGTGAAGAATTTACCTTTGGACTTCTCATCTTCGCCGCTATGGAAGAGTCACCGGAGTTCTCCGGTCGATAAGTCTCATCCATTCCATTAGGCATTTTCAGTTTTGTGTTTGAAAGCATTAATCAAGAGCTTATAAATCATCACCGAGACCGCGAGCAAAATAAGACAGAGGTGTTCACCGTGACGGTGAAGTTAATCGGTGAAGAGGTATAGGATGGGGCGGAGGCTTGAGTTTGGCCGGTGTTGTGTTAGAGAAGAGCACGACTAAAGCGGAGATGATAGAAGGTTGAGTCGCGAGCTGAGATCGGAAGAAGAGGTCGAGACAGAAACGAATACTGTAAAGCAAGGCAGTAGATCGAAATGGAGGCTGAATCAGGATGAAGTGAAAGCGATGGGTGAAGCGTGTGGCCACAAGAGTAGTCGACGGTGGAATTTGTTTGTCAGAGGAGTGGCAGTGGTTTTCTTTCGCGATGAGTGAGAAGAGGAAAGCGTTTGAGCGTGAAGTCTGAGAGTCTAAGCTTTGAACCCTAACCATTACCAAACGACACCGTATCTATACTTTTGCATTCATTCTTGTTTTTTTTTGCATAATAACAATAACAGAGAGTGATGAAGCGGGCTTGTTGGTGGTTGGTCCGAATCTTGAGTCCTGTATTCATTTTTGGTGCACAACAATATTGCCTAAAAAAAAAGACCTCTTCGTGGACTTATCTGGTCCGGACCTTGCGCCTAAAGCAAATTGATGGACACGAACCCCTGATTTTCACATTAACCCCCTGACACTTTCTAATTGTTTTAGTTTTTCTCTTTTAGTTTAGATTTTCTTTAAACTTTCTTAATAAAATTTAGATATAAAAGGACAATAAAAAAATATGTAGAATTTAAGATTTTCTTTTAATTTTTTTATTTTTTTTGTTGTGATAAAAAAAGTATAAAATCAATAAAAATTTGTCAGATTTTTTATTCGATTTTAGGAGTTGATTCATGATTATCCGATTACTCGATATTTGTGATTCCCCTTTGCTTGTTGAGATTTGAGTCTTATGCAAGTTTATTGTGTGATATGCAGATATGCTTGAGATTTTGATTGTGATTTATTTTCACATCAATGATGCTTCGACACTTATTTCGAGCATTTGATTTCTGACTCTTTTCTATTGCTTGGTGAAGCTTACTCGAAGTTTTACGGGTTTCTCTGCTTTGCTAGTTGTGCCACGAACTCTTGTTGGTTTGGTATTTTCTCTGGTTTATGATTCCGTATTTTATCTCTTTTTTAGATATCATGAGAAGTAGAAACTTTAGTGCTTTCTAGATATCATGAGAAGTAGGAAATAAAGAGCGTGCGCTCGAAGTTGTTGTTTAAAATCCTGTAGCAGGCACCGCTTTATGTATGCTAATTGTGGTTGTTTAAATCCCTATCTTTGAATAGTCAATTTTGCACTGGTGTTTATTTTCTCGCATGTTTGGATTCATTCTCGATGACGAGTTTGTTCCAAGTGGATTCGGTTTACATTACTTTTTATCATTTACAATTATGTCAAAAATACAAAGAAAGGAATAATTATGTTATGCACCCGGTTCATACCCGGATGGGATGTTCCCTTGGAGGCTTAGTTTTGTTCACTCTCAATGATGAGTTTGCTCCCTCTTTATTTTACTTGTTGCACAAGCATAAAAGGAAAAGAAATGCTTATATATTATTCACCGCAGTTCACTCTCGATGATGAGTTTTTTCCCCTCTCTTGTGTTGTTTCACTCTCGATGATGATTTTGTTCCATTTACTCGTTTTTCCTATGCGCTTATCTCTCTATACCTTTCATACTTACTTCCTTCCATTTTCCATGCTCCCTTATGACTTATGGATTATTCTCGATGATTGGTTTATTTCGATTAGCAACTAGGATGGTTCTTTCTCGGATGAGTTGGTTCATAGAAAACCTTTGTCCGAACCTTAAGGCAATCCTTGTATGATAATTCTAGGCTAGAAATAGGTTAGTTCCCCGTAGAATTTTCCTTTTTCCCCATTTTCCATGTGCATAAAATACACTCTTTCTTGGCAAATCTTTAAAACGCTTCTAATAAACTCAAAATCCTTTCGTAAAGGTAAAAGACACAAACAAATTCAAACTTATTTTTCTTGCCTTTTGGTTTTTCAATTTCAAACTGGATGTGTTATTGTTCTACTCTACATAATATGATGCATAATTCCCCAAGGGTCGGGTTGCACTATGTCTACTTGCTACGAGTTGCGACTATAGTATTATTCGCCTCCTGACACTTTTTGAGCACATTAATTCCTTTCTACTCCAGATGCGTGAGTCTCAAAAGGTCAAGCTTCAGGTAGAATTAAAAATTGATGTTGTTACATAAAAAATACAAACCTACCAAAACTATTGAGCCGAACAACGGCTGCTCTGATTCCTTAAAAGGGATACGTAGGCAGAGGATTTTGTGGGACCTAATCAAGCATAATTTGTAAAGACTTCTTTCTTTTCCCCACACTTTTTATTCTTTCTTTTGCATACATATCTTGTACAACTTAGATATATATTCTTACACACCCATTAGCTAAACAATAAGAGTGGATACCGTAGAGTACTACAGACGTGTGGGGTGCTACCCTTACCCGATTTCTTGGTCGAAAGACCGTGATTTCTCCCTTTCAGGTTTTCTTTGATATTTCTCTTTCTCCTTCGTGAGACAAATAGATGTTCGGTGGAGACTTCATTGATTTTTATCCAATGAGTTTTGTCTAGTTACTTCAGTTGGCGACTTCATTGGGGACAAATTGACCTATTGCTGGTCCATCCCAGAGTTGATCCTAGCTCTTGTTTGTTTACTACTTTGGTGTTTATTTACTTCCAGTTATTTACAGCTTTATATACACTACTTGCATATGTTTTTGCATGCATTTTATCGCTTTCCATATACTGCTGTTGTGTTGGATCTGTATTGCTTTGGTGGGTGGGTGTTATAAGAGGTAAAATGCCCAATACCCAGGCCAGAGTGTATGTCATTAGGAACACTAGGAATAAAGTGGAGAGTCATGACGGACGTTAGGTGTATGCCCTATCACCATCCGATCATGAAAGCCACGGTCAGTAAGGTTCGGTGAGTATTTATCAGCATCACGGATGTACATGATGATAATACTTTCAGGTGACCAATGATCTGATTATCCATGACCTACCATAACCTGGTTATACTCGTGAGTGGGGCAGGATGACTGATTATTACAAGTACAAATGGTGACCTTGTTTTGTTGGTAACTATGGTTCTTTGGTTATGTTCTGGACCTTTGATCCTGGTATATTCAACTTGTTCAGAGATTATACAATGGTTATTCATGGTACTTGGTTCCGTTGTGTTCTGAAATTGGTTTCGAACCTTTGATACATATTCGGACTATCCACAAATTTATACATCGGTTATCCAGAGGATTGTACAATTGCTATGCTAAACTTTTGAACCTATGGTATTGCACTTGCATCATAGCATATTTATTTTTACAAAAAAAAAGAGAAATGTGTAAAAAATGTATGCATGAAAAAAAGGTTAACACACATGTTCTTTCTATTTCCAGGGAATCATGCTTGTGAACATTATGTTGCATTTGTCAATCTCTTACTAAATCGAAATCGAAACTAAAAGAATATGGGTTCCTTGAAAATGATTGAACATGGAATTGCATCCACTCATTCACATCATGCATCTTCATGCATTCGTAACAGGTACTCAGAGTGGGAAAGTTCTTATTCTTATTTTGACTCGGTTTTCTTCTTAGAACTGTTAATCTTGACCTCTCACCACACCATGATCCGAAAAAAGCCATGGAATGACTTCGGGGGGGGGGGGGGATTATATGATTTGAATAATCAAATGGGGATGTTTATTATGGACATTCAGGTCTTGGTCCATAGTCAGAAATCCTTAAGGGAGAAATAACCAGTTGAAGACTCTGTTGAGTCGGGTATGGAAGCTCTGAAGACAGTGTCAACAAAGGAAAGTGATCCTATATATGGTGTTGCAACATAAGTTATCATTCATCCCCCATCCTAGGGGACATTTTTCTAATTGAGAGATACTTTGTGGGTCTCACCCAGAACTTCGTGTTCCTGGATTTTCTCGTCAGCAACTAGTTTCTGGCCTCCAAGTGAACCCGTAGGGAAAAGCTTATCAACATAGACAAAATAAACCTGAGAAGCATGTTGATACAATCTTTATAACTTTCATCTAGTTACTTCCTCATATGTATGAAGCTCAGTTGATTAAGCTTCGTACTTTGGGTCATCCCCTCATAATTTTTCTCCTGATTTCGATGCAAATGCTAGATATGTCTCCCATTTTGGGGCACCTGGTCATGATATTGAAGACTGTAAGGGGTTGAAGTATAAAGTCTGACACATGTATGGCTTCTTTTCCAAGGTTCAATCCATGTTTAGAAAACCGTTTCAAACTCTTTCTCCTCAGCTGAATGCTTCTTCTGTGTAGTAGAAGATGGTTGGCATTTCTTCTCTGTGGTAGAACATACTTAGTGATGCAGTTTATGCAAGCTCGCTTGATAAAGAATTCATTACATTTGTTGAGGGAATCTGATGTGATTACCATGCTAGGGCATCTGACCTTTAAACTGAAGGTTGTAAACCATTCGAAGATGAAGTGTAAGACTTGCTTGATGCAAAAGTCATCAATTTCGCACCGGCTAGTCAGATTTGAAGTCTCCTTTGACTCAGTGAATGTCAAGGCTTCTAGAGCTTTGTCTGAAGCAACAAGTCCATACAAATACTATTCTCCTCAACATGGCATTTTCAAATTACATTTTAATTCTCATTTGTAATCATTCTTGTTTGGTTCAGTACTTTCTTGTATGCAAAACTTGCTTATTTTCGAATATTAATTATAATACATTGAATATGTTTGTCTTTTAATCCATTCATATTCACTCATTAATGTTTTTCTTTTCTTTGTGATACTTAATTATTGTTAAATAAATTAAAATACCTCTAGACGTAAAATGATGAGAAATATACCAAAAATCTAAAATGGTGTGCTTTTGAGTAGAACCTTGCTGACGATGTAGAGGCATTGTTTCAAATTCTTAAACACCGGAGATAAAAGGGAGATAAACCCTCGTCAACCCCTTTGAGCCTTGAAGTAGGAGTTTCTTTTCTTGTCAGAAAAAACCCTAACATTTAACAAGGGGCAGGGTAGATTCAGTTAATCTGATCGAGCATTCAAAACTTATCAGGAGTGCGCACCTAAGGATACAGCAATGGTTATCCATCAAAAGGTTGAGGAAAGTAAAAAATGCAATGGTTAACCCTCATCTATCAGCAGCGTGCATCAAAGAGAACGATATCCCAATGGTATGTCTTGCACGTCAGGATGATCAAAGATGACAATACAATAATAATTATCCCTCATCTACCAAGGACTTGGGCAGTCACAATCACTTCCAACAAATCGAACGACTCAAAGTCACACGACGTGTTCGAAAGGAAAGAAAAGGAAATGATGAAATAAAGAGACAAAAA